CGCTTCTTGCTCACACAGTGCAACAGCGCAACGCCGCCACCACCTCTCTGTTTTTTTAAATGATTCACGTTTCCCTCTCGTTACGTTTTCTTCCCGGCTATAGAACCATGCTAGATCCATGGACGGGTGAGGTATCTAGATTCACGCTGCAAATGAGAAGTCTTCACCGCATCAAAAACATGCTCCACATCACAAAGATGTCTGGGCGCTTCATGCGTCACACAATGCATGTGCGGGCGGGCGGGTTGGTAGCTGAGCAAAATGGTATAGCGTAAAACTGCATGCTTGATCCTACAAGCACTGTTTCTACAAACGACAACTTCCAGCTGTCGTTGAACCAACAGCTTTCCCTTGTACACCTGAAGATCCTTACGGAAATAGCCATCGATGTGAAACATCTTCGGGGTTGGCAGCCAAACCAAAAGATCAAAGCTCTGAACATTGTAGATACAGCCAGCAGCTTTCAGCGCATGATTCCGTTCTTCCAAACGGAAACAGCCAGTTTGTTGCGTGAACACCTCAATGAACACTGGATTGCCTGGGCCGGAATCCCAAAGGAGATCATCATGGACCCTGCAAGGACAAATCTGGGTGACCCCATGACTGTTCCCGCTGAACTGGAAGGAACACATGTGCGACCTATCGCAGCCGGTGCTCATTGGCAGTTAGGGAAATGCGAATCTCATGGTGGCTGGTTCAACCGTGTGTTGGAAAAGTTGATCGATGACTACTCCCCCCGAAATAGAGAAGAATGGCTAGAATGTGTGTCTCATGCCCATATCAAGAACCAGATGATTCAGATCCATGGATACACCCCTTACCAGTTTGTGTTTGGCCGCAATCCACATGTTCCTCAGGATTTACTCAGTGAGCCGTTGTCCATTGTGCCTGCGACCGCATCATTGACCGATGAGGCAATCAGTCGGACACAAGCCATGAGAACCTCTGCTCGGATGGCACTGGTTCAAATGCAGGACGACCGAGCAATGCGAGTCGCACTCCTGGCTCGACCTCGGAAACCAGTTTCCTTTCAACCAGGGGATATGGTGGCCTACTGGCGAAACCAAAAGTGGGTTCAAGGTCAGTTGCAGCAAGGGGGACAGTGGTATGGGGTAGCCATCGTATTAGGACATGTTGGCAGAAATCTCGTGTTGATTCATCGTAGGCAGGTGATTCGATGTGCACCAGAGCAAGTCCGACCCGCAACAAATGAAGAGAAGTGCCTGATATCGTCTCCTGATGTTGAGCTGCTAGGGATTAAGGACATGATAGATAAAGGTAATCTGCACAGTCGTCAGTACCTAGACCTACTCCCACAGTCATATCCACCACAAGAGGGAGACGTGGACCCAAGGGAACGTCCTGCGGAAACGGACCCAATGTCCGAAGCCAGTCGACTCCGTCCGCCAAGTGATGAACCTAGACTGGTCGAACAACGACCTGCTGATGTGCCTATGCCAGCCGTGACATCGTCGGCCACGGACCCAGAAGAACCAGCAGCTCGTGAAACACATCAATCTAGTCATCCGGAAGGAAATCCCAGCGAGCGAGGAGATGTCAGTTCATCACCTTATCCATCGGAACCCCCAAGAGAATCCGAAAGCTCTGGTTCGTACGGACCGGTTCGCCGTCGAGTGTCCGGGAAAGATGGTCCGATGTCGCTGTGGAGACCTCCAGCCCTCAAGCAAGAAGACTTCATAGAAATCATGAAAGAAGTAGTTCCTCAGCTAGTCGACGATGCATGTGCCGACCGACCCAAGAGACCCTTATCACCCTCTAGTAATCCCGAAGGTGAAGAGCCAGCCGCAAGTCGCCCGAGAACCGAAGAAACGCTGAGTGTTCAGGATGTCTCCGATCTCGTGTCACTTGCCAACTCGGAGTCCTGGGAATGCTTGATGGCCGAATACCTTAAGAAGAAGATGTCAAAAGAATTGCCTCATAGCAATAATCCCCCAGAACTTCAACAGAAGGTCCAACAAGGAAAACGAGCGGAATGGGAAACGATCACATCAAAACCACATGCTGTTCGAATGCACTATGGTAAGAAAGCTCAACAAATTCGTGAACAGTATGGAAGTCGATTCATCGGCAGTAGGTTTGTTTTGACCCGCAAGCCAATAGAGGAAGGAATGGAGATAGATTCCAATGACTACAACACCTTCACGGTGAAGGGCCGGTGGTGTCTGCAAGGACACCTCGATCCTGATCTCGAGGTAAAGGCCGAACAAGGCCTTCTGAAGTCGCCCACACTCAGTCAACTTGGTCGAATGTGCCTCCTTCAAGTGATCGCATCACAAAAGTGGGTGTTGCAGCTAGGAGATATAAAAGGGGCGTTCCTCGAGGCAGGTCCGCTAAACCCTGAATTTCGTCCACTGTTCGCACACCAACCCGCAGGTGGCATCCCGGGAATCCCTCCTGATGCTGTGATAGAGATTGTTGGAAACCTGTACGGACAGAATGACGCTCCGTCGGCCTGGTTTCGTGAGTTCAGCGGGTTTGTCAAATCCCTAGGGTGGCACCAAAGCGTTTTGGACCCGTGCCTGTTCACACTTCGAGATCCAAAAGACCACACGTTAGTTGGTGTGATGGGTGTGCACGTCGACGATACGGCCGTTGGAGGCGCCGGAGACCATTTTGAAATGTCCATCAAACAACTCCGTGCCCGCTTTCCGTATCGGAAATGGCGAATGCAAGGTGGAGAGTTCTGTGGTGCATGGTACGATCAACAGAAAGACAAGTCAATCATTATGTCAATGAAGTCATTTGCTGAAAAGATTCGACCAGTGAATGTGCCCAAGGACAGCTCTCCATCCGAGCTTTTGTCGCCTGGTCAAATCAAGGTCCTACGAGCAGTCAATGGAAGCCTTAATTGGCTATCCTCTCAAGCCAGGCCTGATTTAAGTGTTCAAACAAGTCTGTCACAGCAATCCTTTCCTCGACCGACCATAGAGGATTTCCGGATTGCAAATCAGGCCGTCAGACGTGCTCGTCAGCACAGGGAAGTTGGGGTGACGTTCAAATCAATTCCTTTGAACGACCTAACCATAGTATGTCACAGTGATGCAGCATTCGCAAACAGAGGGAACCACACACAGGCTGGATACATCATCGGTTTCACCGACAAAAAGTTGCACCTAGGACATGAAGCCCCATGGACTCCCGCCGCATGGCGAAGCTACCGCCTACAGAGGGCGGTAAGCAGCACGCTGGCCGCAGAAAGCCAAGCTATGTCAGTCGCTTCAGGAACTACAGAGTGGATCTTGTTGCTTTTGGCTGAGACCATAGATGGCCCCTTGCAGATTCGCAGCTGCAGGAATGTGCTCAAAAGGCGACAGCCGATCATCGTCACCGACTGCAAGAGCCTGTACGATCACTTACACTCCCCGTCCTCTCCAACATCCATAGAGGACAGACGAACCAGCATTGATGTAGTGATCATCAGGGAAAGCTGTAAGCATATGGAAGCCCTAGTTCGGTGGGTCCCCACAAATAGGATGTTAGCAGATGGACTCACCAAGGACGCCGGTGATCCCATCGATCTCCTCCGTGCTTGCATTCGTAGGGCATCATATCAGATCTCCCCGGAAGAAACTGTGTTAAAAATGCAAGCTGCCGAAAAACAGATTCGACGGCAAATCCAAGAGCAACGCTTGAAGGATTCGAAAGGTTCCGATGGGGATCCAACACCTGAGGGGGTCTCAGGTGATCTATAAGTGGCAAGCTTGAGTAAAGGTGAGGGTTCATTGTTTGGGAACAATGTAGTTAGAGTCAATACTCAGGTATTTGCAGATTTTGCTGGTGAGTTTTGTGTATACATGTCGCAGCCTTTTTCTCGACCGATTGCTTTGAAGGCAATCGCATTTTGGAACGATTCATCGAAGTGCCTGCTTTTCAGCGGTTTCCTCCCAGCCTCACCATGGCTGGTACCAGTCAGCGTTTGTCCTCAGCAGTTGATGAGTTGCTGCAGAGGGTCCGAGATGAAGGATCCATGGACTCCCTCCTGAAGGAGCTGGGGTATGAGTTGGGTGAATTTGAGCTTGTTCGTGAATCCGAAGGTCAAGGAAGTATGACGGATGCTTCCAAGAGGCGCATGATTGATGAAGTCTCAACACCACCACAGATGCCTATGGTTCGAGCAGCCAAGACTCGTGCCTCGTCCAAGTTGCCGTCCGGAGTGAGCAGCATGGAAGAGTGGGGCCGTACACTGGTAACGGCCGGGAAGTTCGAGAAGCACGAGATTTCTTACTCAGAGCTGGCATCATCGAGTGAGACCTCCAAGGTCAAGTATGTGCAGTGGATGATCAATCAGAGTGGCCGCAGTGACCTCTCACCGGTGGTTCAGGACATGGCTGATTATTTTGTGGCCAATGCCCGAGAGAAGGAAGGACATGGCCCGTGCATCCCCGGCTCGAGTGTGGTCCGAAAGTTCAAAAGCTGAAGAGATGAATGCTGATGAGATGGCCGCTTGCCGTTCGTTGGAGCACCCATGATTCCCTATGAGCCTTAGGTGAGGCATCCAAGCACTCGCTCCATTCGAATTTTAGAAAATGTATCCAGTTGTGATTGCACGCATGGCAGGCATGAGTTCGTCGTTCCACCAGGGACTTTTCGGCGCGAGGTGAAAAAGCCCGATCGATCCCTTCAGGCGAAGGGTAGTTGCTCCGCAAGTAGTATAGGTTGCAGGTGTCATCATGGGTTGGTTTATGCTGTTAAATATTATGTCTTACACCTTTGTGCGCGTGCATGTTCAGTAGGCCGTGTGACTGAGGGGTGCATTGGTGGGTGCCGATCTACACTTTGTACTTTTGCCAACCTATTGTACCTGACTATTGTTCGTGAAATACTCTCTCTACAGTACAAGGTTCGATATCTCTTCCCCAAGAGAAAGAAGGGTGTGCTGTCAGTTGCGACTGCCAAACCTGTGGTTTCTGGTTATGTGTCCCTTCGCGCCCTTCGACTGCGCACAGCTCGTGCCCCATCTCCCCCACAGCTCAAGCCACGATGATGTGAATGGTGTCGGCACTGTAGATGCTGTAGCTGTGATCCGCGTAGGGCGAAGATTGAAACCCCGCGAAGGGGACGACGAGCGTCGTCAGTAACATGCTAAAGGAGACACCCAGTAGCTGAGAAGCAGCAAAGCGTCGAGCTCGTTTTAAGCACGTCTTTGCGGCTGTAGGGGTGTCGGCCAACTTGACCTCGGCGAAAAAAACTAACATCGACATCATGAGTGAAAGCCCAAGTCACTCGTTTGGTTGGAATTCAGTGTTCACAACTGTCACCTGGGATGAGATAGCGATTTACGAAGTCACAGCCTGACAGCTACAGGCCTACCGGCCTACCTTCCAACTGTCCAATTCAGCAAGGGAAGCAAGTGGGTTTTGAGGTCACGAAGGGGTGTCTTACCAGCAGAGTTGCGGTCTTCATCTGATCTCTTCGTCTCGGGCAAAACAAGTACTTACGCCCAGTCAAAACCGTTTCTCTGGGACAGTCGAACTATCCAACGTGCTCCGAACAATCCTGCGATTGCAGTACAGTATAGTTGTCACCCTGCTTCAAGCATAGTATTTCCACCGACTGTCTGGCTTACCTGCCATCCTCCCATCTCCTCTCCACTCGCTTAAGAATTTCTGCTTCAAGTGGCCGCACGTTGCAAGACACGGTGGAGGTCCAGCAAGGACTTGAAAAGTGAGCCAATGGCCAAGAAACTCGCCAAGATGTGGCAAACCCACACGCAGATCCCTGCCAAAATGCCCACTAGCCCCGCGTGCCAAACCCACGGAACGCTGCAGTAGCCTTCGCCTAGCACAAAGCAACCGCAGAAGATGGACAGTGAGGTCATGGCCACCAAAGCACCACCGGCTTGGATCAGTAGAAAGGCACCAAAACAAAGGCTGCAGTACTTGCGATGAGAGCTCCTGGGTCTGAGGAAAGGACTTTGCTAAGAATCAATCAAGAAGGAATAGGACGCAAGACGCTACTAGGGTGGAGGCTACCGCTCTTCGCTTGGAGGCCACCGCGGCCACCGTTACGTTGGAAGCTTCCAAGATCGGAGCTCCGAGGCGTCGGAGGTGGCTCCGTTGGTGGGACATTGGCTCGTTTTCCGCTGAGAATCCAATTGTTTTGCTAGGACATGGCTCGTTCTTTTGCTAGGACATGGCTATGAACAGGCAAGGCATCTTCCAAGAGCCCCTCTCTCTCTTCCCTCGTTTTTATGATTTTCTGGTTTGGGCTGGAGAAATTGGGGTGATTATTCAAGGCAACAACCACGGGGTGTCACAGAACAGGAACACTCTCAGATCTAGACGCCATGGAAAGTGACAGCTTCACGCTCCCATGATCGGCTGGTTCACTTGAGGCAGGGCATCTATGTCCCACAATGATTTGCAAGAAAGGAAACAGAAGAAATATATGAAGAACTGAAAAGGATATAAAAGGCTGGATCTCCACCCCCCAACAAAAGCGTTGAGGCTCTGCTCCAGCTGCTGGAGGCGCCCAAAAATCAGCAGCTGCATCCACCAAAGAGCGATTAGGTAGAGGATCAGCCTGGATAAAACGAAAGTCCTGACATCATTGGGCCGGCGGTCCTTCCATGTCCCTGACCCAAACGAACCAATTGTCACTGGGCTTGCATACAGGGTGGTCAGGATAGTGAAAACAGCCACGCCACTCTGTAGGTTACAAGAAAACGCGCTTCCATAAAAGGGAAGCAGCTTGGCTCAAAGCACCCTGACTCTCACAAAAGAAATCGGTCATTCTACTTCATCCTTCTTCATGGTGGGGGAGCCTCTCCTTCCTGCCAACATCAGGAAAAAAACACTGCGATCTACCGAAGGTCAAGTGCCAGCCATCGCGGTCCAGGATGCCTCCAAAGCTACAGTCATCGGAGCGATCCAAAAGGCTGACGGGACCACACAAGGATTGAAACCAATTCATCATCGCATAGCCTGAGTGCACTGGCCCAGCTACAGGAGGTTGGCCCAAACAATGGTCTGACTCTATCGCCATCTATAGAATCTAGTGTCGTGTGTTTGGGATTTGGTTGACCTGGCTTGGCTTGAACAAGCTAGAGGGGTTGGGGGAGGGCGCAGCGCCTGGTGCCAAGACACCAAAAGGCTGCAAAATGCAAACAACAAAACATGTTATCAAAACCTAACCTAGCCATCAGAAGCCAACGAAATCCACGAGAACCAAAGCAAGCCGTCAAAAACCAAACCCGCTCAAAGACCCCAGAGCCACACAAGCCAGCAAAAGCCTAAAAGAAACAGCCACCGCAGTCAAAAGCCACAAAAACCACCAAAAGCCAAGAGCCAAAAGGCAAACAAGCCAAAAGAAAACCCTCAGTCACAAGCTCTTTGTCAAAAACATCCCTCCAGGTCTCCAGTTGCAGACCGTGCATGCGCGGAAAACGTCGCCCGCTTCAGCAAGAAGGCTGCAACGCAGCCGGCACCAAGGCTCGCCACCATCAGACAAAGAAAAGAGATCTGGTCCAGCAAGGGGCACTTTGCCTCTGATCGAATCATCGGAAAGCAAGTGCCCAGGGACAAAAACATACACAAAAGAACAACCAGAATGGCCAGAAGGCAAGCCCAGCCCATACTTAATCAATGCCATTCCAGTCAAAAATAAAACGAACATAATGATAGGCACTTCCTCTGTACCGGCTCATGTAAAAAGCTACCGGGCTACCCTAGGCAAAAGCATTTTTTTTGCCAGGTTTCGGAGTGATAGAGATGCATTTGATTCCGAAATCTCTGCCGCTTCTGCTCTGAGTTGTCCTCAGGAAAGAGCAAAATTGAGGCGGTGATATTCACAGCGAACACCGCCAAGTAGGAAGAGGAGGATCCCAACCACTGCCAAGGCTTCATCCTGCCGAGCCGGATCCGCGGATCGGCTACTCTGAAGATGTTCTGTTCGAAAAGGATGTGACCAAATCAACTGGTTTGGATTCAAAGCATGTCCACAAGCCTCCAGTAGGACCAAATTATGGCCGAATAGTACTGGGGCTGGTTGGAAGTTCCGCGTGGTTCTCTTCATCAATCAAACACCATGACCGCGAGCGAATAAGCGAGAATATCAGATTGAACACATACCACACGAATTCATGTTGTCCTGTGGATGGACTGGGTGGACTTGGAAGAGGCCTCACTCGGAGTGTCTGAATCGGAATCGGCCATTCCCGCCATTCGGCTGCATAGGAAGCTGGCATCTACCAGGATTTTTCAGCCACAGTGGCTTCAAAGAACACTCCCAGCAGTGAAGGCGCGGTCGCTGGAGAATGGCTTCCAGCCTCTGTCGTGTCAACCTGACATGAAGAGAGTTATGTAAGTCCAAGTGTACTACAAATGTCAGCCCTCTTATACTAAAACTGAAACTATTGACAGCCAAGCAAAAAAACAAAAACAAAAACAAACACCTGCGCAAGGTGTGACCCTGTTTATGGAGAAACGCCTCGCATCCCATGTGAAACATGCTGAGGTACCGGACCATAGCAAGTTTCATACTGCATACTGCTGGGTGTCGCAGCGGATCTGGCGGCGATGACCCCATCGAATGCCCTGAAGACGAAGACCTACAACCCTTCCACAGGGTATTACTGCGAAGTTGGAGGTCAGAACCCAGAGCCCTAAACCTTGGCAGGTTGACCTCCTTGTACTATTCTGTTCATCTTCCGTGCTCAACCTGTGCCCGCCAGTTTGGACCCACAGCCATTTACAGTAAGTGTTTCTCGACTTCCAGAAACCAAACCACCTCCCCAACCCATCTGACCATCATCTGACCCTTGCTGGTCGAAACCGAGCCCAACTGGGACCGTGGCCGGTTTGGAGGTCCACTCTTTAGACATGGTGTTCGACCCTCCAAGGTGGCAGCATCTGGCAGTGCCTGGGGATGGGCAAGCACTAACCCCCTCTACCTCAATTCATCCTCAAAAAACCATCATAGGCAACAAGAAACATCAAGAATCAAGAAACAAGCCTAATTAGGCTGGATGATGATGCTGGATGTCTAAGACTATGCCAGCTGTGGCATAAGAAGACCCGAGCTCAGATCCGCTGGGGCGCCCCAACCGTCCATCTCATACCCCAACAGTCGCTCCCCACATCCGTAAGGGCACAGGTCATCACCTGCAGGCTGCCAAGGCTGCCAAGGGGACCAACACAGCGATGTTCGATCATCTTCATTCCACTTCCCCAGCCATCTCCAACCACTGGGCCCAACAAACCACCCCCTCATCGGAGACTTAATTCTTCCTGGAACATGTGGAAGATGGGAGGTTTGAGGCCGCATCTTCCAAACTGATCTGCTTCCGGCGTGCATTTGCGGAAGTCTGCGAGTGGCAGGTCATGTCACCAGTTCCCTGATCAAAGTCGAAGACATCACTTGGGAAAGCTAAACCATTCCATGCCACCCCAAATTAAATGAGCGAGGTGACACCAATGCATTTGGCCTTCACCATCCACCCTGCAAATCCCCAGGCGTGCTCAAATCAACAAGCAAGCAGCCCTTTGCGTTGACCAAGTGCTCAAATAGCAGCCAAATCTTAGGTACATCGGCAATTCCATTACCAGTAAAAGTGAATGATGATAGTTAGCAAATTGCATCTCAAAAACAACATGATACACTAAGTTCTACATATTTTACATATTTTATCCGACCATTGCTGGCTTACTGGGACACGCCCTAATCAAAAATCCACCTAAGAATTGCTGGAACCTCTGGAGCCCTCGAGTTGCCCGAGCTTGGCGCCTACCCATCGCCCCAAGCTTGGCTGTTTGAGAGCCAAGCGGCGGTTGGGGCATTCAAAGGTAAAATGCTTCTTTGCATCCTGGCCATGAGGCTGGAGCATACAACTTGGAAAGCGCATGATACAGCATTGCGCATGGCAGCCAGGCATGGCCGTGATTTCGCTGGTCTACCCAGAGTCTACCAGCTACGAACTCCCTGGGGGACGCTCAAACATTTCGGTCATGAGAAAAACCTGCCATTTGTATCCATTTATTGGCCTTTGGTCTTGGCGAGGGTCAAGACCAGGACATCAAAGACCCCTTGGCCTACGGGGCCTACGGTTCTGTGAAATCCAGATGACCCCATCAAGATCATCAAGTATCCACCAAAAGTCCCAGGGGCAGTCACTTCATGGGGGCTCTGTGCTCTGGCGTTCACTATTTTCTTGGTCCCCCAATTTGAGAGTGGGCACGGTTTCCAATACATGTTGAAAGGGATGTATTACTTAATTATGCATAGAAAGAAGTGTTTCTATCATACCTGATTATCATAGAAAAAAGTTTTCTATCATAGAATGAAGATTATATTGAACGGGATGTTACTGTTCTATCTATTTGGGGAAAATATGCTCAACTCACCTGGACTTCTTGGTGATCATTGTTGGAGAACCAGACCACTTGTTGGTGCCGGTCTGAGGGCCAGCCGGTCTGAAGCAAGTGACGCGCACACATGGGTATAATATGGTAAAATATAATGAATAACTACAATGTATTATAGATATTGTGAAATTGCCCTTGGAGTGCATTTCTTGTCAGGTGTCCTCACGTGGCCATATTGGCTGAAGGCCTTGAGCCGTTGTTCGGCTTGATCGGAAAAGGCGCGTGCCGCTATGTCGTGAGGTCTAGTGACCTAGGACCGGTTGCAGTTGATTGTGATCTACATTGACATTGAGTTGTTGGGTATTTGCTGCTACCAGTTCCGCATGGTAGCGGAGCCCCGCTCCAAGGGGCTACCGTTGACCACCAGTTGTTGACAAGAGTTGTTGGCAGTTGTTGGTGTGGTGCGACCATCCTGGTCGCCAGTGTGCAGTGACACAGGTCACTGATCCAACAGGATCATTCTGATCCAATGGAGTCGAAGGACCAGTCCTTCTACTCTTTGAGCTTTGATGGCAAGCCCGCGTCGTACCGCGAGTTCAGAAGAAAGACAATCCTTGCAGTCGCAAGCCTGGAAT